TCAGTAACATCAGTATTGATTGGAGCTCTAGTATTTTCCGCAAAAACTCGAAAAGACGGATGTGTCGTACCTGTGGGAACGTTTGGTCTCTTCGAGCGCTGACGTCTTCTTCTCTGAAAACAATTTTGTCAGATTTAATGGCATGTATCCATTTTTTCCATTCCCGAGGAGAGTGGTAAGAGGGTAAGTTCTATTATTTTGTTAAACTTATTTTGAAGCACCTGTTGATCAGGAGATGAAAATATGGAAACCAGATGATATGACAAACACCAGTGATACTTGATGAGTAGTCCCCTTCGCTGCGGACGAAGGGGCGTGTCAAGTGGGATGAGTTTGGCTCAGCGCCAGCCCCTTTCTTTTCTTATCTTTCTTTTTCTTTCGGCAAGCAACAAGGCTGTTGCTTACCCGCTTCAGCAACTAGTGGAGAGGGGCTCGCGAATCCCCAGTCCCACTGACATCCCCATCATCGCTTCAACGGAAAAGACTAAGGGATCAGTAGGATGAAGGAAGTTCCCTTATCTTGCACCTTTTATTCCAACCAAATTGGGGCGTAACAGCGCTAAGATTAGAGGCACCCATCTCGGGCAAAGGGCGCTTCCAAAAGAAAAGAGAAACTGAGAAGAAAACTAAGAAACAAGGAATTCTTGACGATTACCTGGAAAGAGTATGACGATAGGGTTCGGGATAACGTCGGTACTGAAAAGAAGTAACACTTCATTGAAGAATCTTACACATCTTAGAAATTGTGGTCCTATAGTCAGCTAACTATGGTCACTATCACTAGAAACAGCAAGATAGTAGCTGCTGCGAAAACCTATAAAGTCTGTAGGGATATCTGCGTCCAGGCAGCGTTCATAGTTCGCGATGACAGACGTCGCGCTCCAGTGCTATGGAAGAAAACAGCCATGGACGGGTATCAATCGGCGCTGAGCTCTGGTGTTTTGAGAGTCTACAGAAGTATAGGAGGGTGCCAGACTGTGTGGTCAGACTTCTTAGGTTCCTTTTCTCCAGTACACTCTCAAAACAGTAGCGGTCACCTGTCTGTAGCATTAGAGCGCGGTTGCAATGGTAGAGCATTAGCGCGCGTCATCGAGATGTCTAATGAGTGCCTTACTGTGCTCCTTTCATTGAACTGAAAGCCACCAGAAACGTTCCTACGCCCTCTTTATATCGTAGCCCTGCCTACAAGGATGGAGGATGTACTATTTTTGCAGCTCGAAACGAGAAGATAGCGCCGCCCGTTCATGAAGAGGCTGCTGCCCCGCCCGCCTGGCAGCTACAAGCGCCCAACGTTCACTTTGAATGGTTGCCTGATGGTGCGGCTAAGCCTCCACTTCGAATGGTGAGAGTGAGGTGATAAGGGAAAATAGCTGATACCAACAAGTGAGATTTGTGCGACCCCGACCTCTGTTCTCCTAATGCACAA